GGCGGACGTGGGCGCAGCCGCTGGCGCGGGCGGGCAGCGCGGGCGGGCAGCGGGCAGAGGCGGGATTTGAAATTTTTCGAATTAAACGGGTTGGCGGGTTGACCCGGCAAACCCGACCCGTTTTTTAAACGGGTCGATTTCTGGAACCCGAATCCGACCCGTTTTGAAATCGGGTCGGGTTCAACCCGGATTTTCCGGGTCGGGTTTTCGTGTCGTGTCAAATATTGACACCCCTACCCAAAATATTAATATTACATGTCTATCATCCATATATAATTTTAATATCAAATATATCACTCATATAATTTATTTATACCAGTCATACCATCCTATAAACTTTAATGTTTCATTCTATGCACCCAAATTTGTTCTATGGGTGGTAACCATGTAATATTAATGTTTTTGGTGTTAGATATGTAAATAGCATAAAATAAAGTTATATATATGTAAATCACCCTTTTTTTTCCAAAAGAAAAAATAGTATAAAGGGAAGGCGGAGTTTATCTTCTTCTTTTTTTTTGGACATTTAGTGCATTAAGGTAGATTGCACACGCATCACATACATAATACTCGAATCCAAGACATCTTAGTTGGTAGCGTAAACTGCTAACCAATAGACCAAGGAGAGTTTTGTATGTGGAGTTTTTCCATTTCATCAGTTTCCCATGCACGAGTTGAGCAAAATTTACTTGGAACCATACAGTCCACCTTAGCCTATAGGTGGCCAACATAATCTTCTAATCAGAAAATTTTAGATTTGAGACTTACATATATAGTGTATTATAAGAGTTTGCAATCTAATACTATTTTTTTCTGTGTGATTATAATAATAATTGAAGAAAAATTAAATGATGTTTTTTCTGTCTATTTTGAAGAAATGAGCACCAAAGTATAAATATTAATAAGTTTTTAGTGATTAAGGGTTCGTTGGACGACTTTTTTTATTGCTTTCTAAACGGAGATTATTAGTACAATTTTTTTTTATTTTTGTACTAAAACTCCGTTTTAGAAAGTAATAAAAAAGCTGTCCCAAACGAAGCCTAAGTCTTCATTTGAGACCGCTTTCTTATTATTTTTTAAAGTAGTTTTTTAATATAAAATTTTCTTGAATAACAGTTTTTTAAATGAAAATTTGTTTTAAAAAGTAATAAGAAAATTGTCTCAAACAAAGCCTAAGGGCATCTCCAACCGAAAATCTTATTTTTCACTCCAAAATGCAGTGAAACAAAAAAATGCCGTTATTCATCTTCAATGGAATGCCATTTTGCCCCGTAAACCGTCGTTCTCTTCATTCGCGTCTTTTTCCCAAAGTTCGGTAGAGATAAATGAATGGTGCAGATGAACAGTGCAACGCCAATATTAGTGTCCCACTGTTCATCCGCGATCAAATGACACAAAAAATGGCGATCGGTTGGAGCAAAGCAGGAACGGCTAACAAGTATTTGCCGTTCCATTGGAGTTGCCCTAAGTGAGCTCTAATTATGATCGATAGATAAGAAGGGAAAATTTTTCAATTGCTCAACCACTGCTTTTACACAGCTCTAATCATTTAATAACATAATCCCTTTAATGACCAATAAAAATATATCTTCAGTGGCAATCAAACCATACAAATCTTCAACAGTAAGCAAGTATGGAAAGAGTAACAACCACACAAACAGAGAGGGATCAAAATAATCGCATAAGCTCTCAATTGAAGCTCTTAATCTCTCATTATGAAGAAAGAAATTTTCCAATTTCTTTCAGTTTTTTTTTTTAATCTATACAAAGTATGCTTATCAGATACCAGAAACTCCAATAATATTCTTTCACTTACAGTATCACCAATACAAAAATCAACTTGAGGGCCTATTCAACCCCTTGAAGTTCTCTGTGTCTATACACTCCAGTTTCTCACTGCATCCACTCATCATCTTCAACATCTCAGTCGCCTTCTCCTTCGCCGAATCGCCACAACCGACCTGCAATAGCAGCAGCAGCTTCTGAAACAATCCCACCTGCAAGCATTCAACCAAACACTTCCCTTGACACTTCTTGCAGAGCTTCCACAATGCTGAAACCGCAAACTCGGTCGCCATTTTTGAAACTCGAAACAGCTTCTTCACAAGCACCGGAATCGTAAGCGCGTTTGCACAAGCTATCTCTCTCCCTAGATCACAGTCACACAATCCGTCCAGAATTGCGAGCGACTTCTCAATCAAGCTCTTATCAAACTCGATCAAAATTTCGAGGATCAGTGGAATCAATCCCATTTTAACAAACTCGGTTGCTATCCTTTCGTCATCGGTGATGAAGTAGAAAGTAGCCACCAAGGAGGCCTTGGTGGCCTGCATTGAGACAGGCTCTCTTATGAATTCTAATAGTGGTTCCACAAAGCCATTCTTGTCAGCAATAGCTTTGGATGTTGCCGCCATCTTCTTCACCATCAGCACAGCATTAAGCTTGCTTCCAACATCTCCATGCTTCATAATCTTTATGATTGAATCGAGTGATTCTGATGTTGATCCTAATTCTATTAGTACGACCTCATCATTGAATGGTAGGAGGCCTACCAATGCTTCTAAGATCTCTGTCAAAACCTTGAGGGATTGAGAAACTAACATTCTAAATGCAGAAGCTAATACGATCGGGGCGCCGTTCGATACTAAGCAGCGTCGATTTCGCTCGCTCTCCTTCTCTAAAGACTTCAATCTCCCAACCAATTCGAGGCATCGTTCGCCATCCCGATTCTGGCAGGCTAAGGAGATATTGTAGAGGATCTCAGAGGCCTCCGTTGAGCTGATGGGAATCCGAGGTGTTGGAATTCGCTCGATCCCATAAGATTGATTTGCAACACACCAATCCTGAATCATTCTTCGTATGCTGTGATTAGGAATGAGGTCTTCTACTGTGAGCTCCATGTTTGTGACAGGACAAGTAGATTTACCCATTTCTAGCCATTTCTCTACGCTCTGGCGATCGTAGGTGATGCCAGTTGGTGCAGTTACAGGATCCTTCATGAGATCGAGCGAAATCGGGCATTGAAAATGGTCAGGGATGATGAGCTCGGTGATGATGGTGAGTTGGCCTGTGGATTTAGTGGGTTTCTGCTTAGCAGTTCTTGTCTTCCTCGAAAAGGCCATGGAGAGACCTTCAGTAATGGGATTATGATGGAGCAGGATTGAGAAGATAAGAGAGTGAATGGCTCAAATAAGTGTGGTAGGCAGAGACAGGTGAGAAATGGAAGGTTTTAAAAGGATTTGGATTTGAATGTTGACCGTTGAAGTTTGAATCTGAAAGCCGCGGGGAGAAACAGTAACGGGTTTCGGGTTTCGGCGGGAGGTTAAATCTACATAACCGGACTTATAGAGCGAACCGTCATCTTTGTTCTTTTTCCATTTGTTTTTTCACATTATATTCCTATGGAAAATAGGAACTTAAGAGTACAAATCTTTTTTTTAAATATATTTCACATCTAAATATTACTATTTACTAAACTAAGGGCAACATTTACATTATTTATATTCGTGCTCGAAACATTTGCCGACAAAGACGTGCAAAATGCAAATGGAACCTCGCTATTGATGGGGTTGGCAGGGTGCGAGGAACTCGTGATAGAATCTCGCTAAGTGCTCAAAAGAATACTTTGGAAGGTCATTGAGACCGATGACATGCAAAGGGCGATGGCGAAGAAGTCATGATAGGATCTCAAGGGAACATCAAAAACTTACTGGGAAGTGCATTCATAGGGATAACATCGTTCGAAGTTTTGATGCCAACTAATGACAAGTGATGATTTTATTTTTATTTAAAAGTTTAGGTGTTATATAAATATATAATAACTCTATTTGTTAAATATATTAAAAGAATAACTTTAAATGCTTTACATATATTTGCATAAGAAAAATCAAAACTAAGATTTTGTTTGGGACAACTTTCTTACTGCTTCTTAAGTTATTTTCTAGTACAAAAATTAAAAATTTTGTACTAGAAATTAGCTTTAAGAATCAATAAAAAAGACGTCTCAAATGAAGTTTAAATTAGGATACTGAAGTGATTTTTATCTTAAGAAAGAATATTAAACCAACTAGAAGCAAAGAATAAGGAATTATTCAGACTTAGAATTTTGAACATGGACAGGTCCTCAATTCCAGTCCTATGTTATGTTGGAGAAAATTAATCAGATGTTTTGGACCGGTCATCAATTATTTTGTAATCTAAGAACATTTACATTTGATATCAGAGATAAGATAGAAAAACATGAGATTAAGCAGTTTAATGCTTGATTATTTGCATCAAGATCTGTGCTAGATTGATTATTTTGCATCAAATTAAGTGTGAACAAAATCAATGTTAGAGTAATTGATTGATTGCTTCAAGTCTGTGCATGATAATTCAAGTGTTTACATTGTGATTAGTGCAAGATGTTGGAGATTTGAGATATTTGATATGGTGCTTGGAGATTCGTGCTAAGTCAAAATAGTGATTTGTGGTCATTCAAATTGTTGCACCAATTTTCAGATTTGTTCATCCGATCATATTAGTTGTGATGAAGAATTCTATGATCATCAACCCTAATCTCAAAGTCTCAAGTTTGAATAGCAAATAAACTAAGGTTTCGTTTATGATTGTTCTAAAAATTTAAAATTTTATACTAAAAAACTACTTTAGAAAGTAGTAAGAAAGCTGTCCAAAACGAAGCCTAAACTCAGGTTTCGTTTGGGACGGCTTTCTTACTGCTACTTAAAAAAGATTTTAGTACAAAAGTTAAAATTTTTGTAGATAAAAGCTCTTTTAAAAAACAGTAAAAAAACCGTCCCAAACAAGGCCTCAATCTCCTATATATAATGGTGGTTCAACCACTTAATCCGAATTACTAAATCAATGATTTATATATTAAGTAGTTGATATTGAACAAAAATATATCGAAGTTGGACCATATATAATAGTAGTTAAAGGGAATTTTTCATATATAACATAATTTTTTTATGCATTTATTTACCTAATATTTTTTTATATTTTTTTATATAACACTCAAAATTCTAAAGTAAAACACAGGTATACTTTTTAATATGATCTAAAAATTAACACGGTATATAAATAAATATAATTAAATGTCAAATATGAAAATATATCAATTTATTTTACGTGAAAACTTAGGCGTTGAAAAAAGTGATATTAAAAGGGGAAAATTTATTCTATGTGGACGCCGAACGCCGTCCAAAAACCAACAAGAATGCGTCATGTCCTTCGTTCGCTCGGTACTGCGGCTCGGTACCACTGACGTGGTTGCACTTGATTCGTCTCTGGACATAGAACTGCATCCGCCGTCCGCTCCGAATAATTTCTCTATTAAGGGGGCTATTTGATTTGAAGAGCATAGAATATATTTTAAATATTGAAAAAAATGATGGTATTTTTATAAGACATAAATAATTAATTTTTATCTAATAATAAATAATAAATAAATAAATTAAGAAAATTCTTATTTAAGGTAGAGCGTCAAATCGCCTTCCTCTTGACTGAATTTATTATTGTGGAATATATTTAGAAATTATCAGTCTAAAGTCCAAACAATCGGCCAAAGAATATTCGAAGATAACTTATTAATTGCGCTGAAGACCGAGACTATGCAAACGAGAAAATTAAATGCTAATTATTTAAAATTTAAAATATATATAATAATAATAATAATAGTTAATATGGGAAGGCGACCCACTGAAGCTCTGAAATCTAACCAATTAATTTAGGAACTTTTATTCGGTCCGGTGAATGTACGCTCCTCTATGTTCGGCCATCAATATTTTAGCGCCACGTAGCATGAAGAAAAGTCGCCGACCCGACCCACTGTTTTTAGGGTTCTCGCATGTGCATTTTTTTAAATCCTTGACGAGCCGAACAAAACCCCATCACCTTTTGGATATATTTCAAATATCTAGCAATAACGAGCAAATACCAAGTTGTACCTAGTTTTTTTCTCTACCGCCGCGAATATTCCAGGACGCAACAGTTATTATTATTATTATTATTGCATAATGAACATTTTTAAATACACATATAAAAGCTAAGAAAAGAAAGAAGAATTTTTAAATGAATAATTCTAGAATCACCAATTACAAATGTTCGTTCGCCCACTCAATTGGAGAAGTAAAAATTATAAACTTTGACTACTTGCTTAGCCTTCTATGGCTACATTGGAAAATGTTGGAGAAGAAGTGAAAGTGATGATGGCGATCAAAAGATGATAGGCGAGCGAAGGCGATCAAGCAACGTTCGTGAGGCGATGATTGTTGGGCGAGAACTTTCAAGTGATGATGATCGGATGATAATGAAAGTGAGATGACAATCAGACAACAAATGTCGATGGGGATCAAATAATGGTGTTTAAGCAATGATATTTAATGTGTGATGGATCGATAAAAACTATCAGGCGACAACAATTGAGTAACTTAATGGTTAGACAACGGCATTGAACATTAGAGTAGGCTCTATAGATATTTAGGCCACTAAGCTCTCCAACTTTGGATCCCTTTTATATAACAAATGTGAGTTTATAGTGAGAGTTATATTTGCTTTTTAGTACAATTTTGATAATTTTAATCAAAATTTTCATGTACTTCATTGGATAACTCATATTAATTCTTTCGGTCATGTACCGCTCTTCTAGCATTTATATGTCTAATTGCATCGAAATTAAGTTATTTTCTACATGTACGATCATTTTGACTATAAAAATGTGTTTTTGGCTTTGTCTCTGACTGCTTTATTATTACTTTATGAAACAGTTTTAAATTACTTTTTCTTATTATTTGAAATTTTTGTACAAAGTTATTTCATAAACCAGTGAGAAAGTTGTCATAAAGAAAACCTTAGACTCACTCAAGTAGGGGTGTCAACTTTTGACCCGACCCGAAAACCCGACCCGGACCCGACCCGGAAAATCCGGGTTGAACCCGACCCGTTTGATAAACGGGTCGGCCGAACCCGACGGGTTGACCCGAATTGACACCCCTAGACTGAAGCCTCTTTTGATTTGGCTTTCTTACTGCTTCAAAATATTACATTAGTTTTCTCTCCAAATTTTTGTCGCTATTCATTACCAGATGGCCCATCATTCTCCGCAATGATACAATCAGCTGAAACAGGCCTCCATAATTTACTTGACCATAACAGCCCATATAAGGTCCGATATCTTCCCATGTAAAGCCCATATAAGTCCACAAAGGCTTAAAGCCTACTTAGGATATGCTAAACAAAGCATGCGTTACTGTTCATCTTTCGAACGTCCTTTCATAATTCAGATTATATGGGAGAACCTAAGATTTTTTTTTGTAGAATATTTATTTTATAATTGATTGTTATAATTATAAATCAAAGAAATAAAAATAATGAACCTAACAAAATATCTCCAACAGTCTCCCTAAGATTATGACACGTATGCTTTGCAAATTTTTTATTGTATTTGTTCTCCTAATTTAACTTTTTTATATATTTTTTGTCATAACTTGTAAAATTAATAGTCTCCTCTTGCATTAGTAAAACTAAAATATAATTAAATATTTTAGTTTTTATTGAGAATTTAATTTTATTTTTGGATAAATAATAATTTTCACCAGCTTAAGTTGAAGATAAGATTAGAGAGAGCGGCCTTAGATGATTTGGGCTTTGTTTGGAATAATTTTCTTTTTATTTTTTAAAGTATTTTTTTTATTCAAAAATTGATAATTCAAGAAATTTTTTAACTAAAAATTTACTTTAAGAAGCAATAAAAAAATTATGCCAAAGGAATCCTAAGTCCCATAAACATATGATATATGATATAGTTGTTTCAATTTTATATTTAAACATGTTTAATGGTTAACTATAGCATTCTTATTTTTAATTTGAATATCTCTTTAATATATTTATAAATTAGCTATCACACTACATTAGTTATTATTTTAAATGTGAAAACAAATAAAAATGTAACTATATTATTTATATTTTGACGTGACTGGGACGAGAAAAATATTATACAAATCAGTATTAAAATTTCATTGCCATAAATATAAATCAATAAGAATTCTATGGTATATTTGTGATGCAGTGGGTTAATACAGAAAATGTGTTTGAATTTTAAGGAAGAAATTATTTATTGCCAAAATTTTATATCTTTTTAAGTAGTTATCGTATGGTACAAACTCGAGGTGTATGTGATCAGTCAAGCTGACTCATGAATCTGCTCGGACTCAACTTGATAAAGTGCTTGTGAGTCAAGCTTTTGTCAACCCTGACTCGACTTGGTAGCTTGTGAGCTAATTTGTTTAATGAATATTAATATAAAATATACTTAAAATATGTTAGTATTCAGTATTCTAAGTATAAAATTATTAAAATATTTATAAAACTACATCTTACTTTCTTAAATAATATCCAACAGGGTGAGCAAGTAGCAGCCCCGTTACAAAATGGGCCAACCAAGCCATCACAGAATGGACCAACTAAAACCAACATCGCTTATGTGCTCGTTTGAAAGTTAAAAATAAAAAATAAAGAACAAAATTTGAAGTATTTAAGATTCACCCTCTAATTCAAGTTTAGTGCAATTGAAAATCGTTAAATTTAGTTGAGTTATAAATACACTGCAATTTATTTACTTTTATTGCCCTCGCTACTGCCAACCACCTCCAAACCCAACGATTGTCATCGGATGCCGCCATGCCGTCCATAGCCCCCATTAGCCACTGCCACCATCATTGCTTGCTATCGCTGTAGCCGGCGCTAATGACCACCGACCATCATCATCATTCGATTTACATTACATTTATTTTATTCCACAATAATTTTTATTATTTTTTATAGTAAAGACTAAATATTACCATACAAGTTAACTTCAATCCGTTACTAATGTTATATTTAAAAAAAAAAATAATATCTCATATTTCAGGCTTAGATGTCGGATGCGAATATGATTGATTGATAAAGAAAAAAACACCAACAGCTACTTCTCTGTTTATTTAAGAAACGTGACACTAATTTTAATATAAGACATAATTGATCTTTTTAGAAATTTAAAATATAAATAATAAAGGTGGGCCCTAGTTAAGTCCAACCAGCAAGGAGCGTTGCCGTGGCTGGGTCCCACATTTGAAGGACTGAGCTGTATCCAGTTCGCAGCGCAGCTGGCTTCTCATTTCGTTTAGTTGCTGTACAACTCACGGGGCGATCGGTTCGGCTAAAGGGCCATCCAAATATCTACATTTTATTATTATTATTATTTTTTTTTATTTCTTCACTCAACCGCGCATTTTTATATTTTATTTATTTTATTAACACCCAATTCACTAAATGAGTTTTTGTTCCTTTTTTTACAGTCCTCATGATTTCGTTATTAATTTTTTTTTTTTTTATGATTTCGTTATTAAATATATTCTTTTGAACGTAGGAGCATTTCAACCTTATAGAAAAAAGATTGATTTTTTTTTTTATTTCAATCATTTTGTGCACTCACATGAAAAAAATTCTGACTTCACTCTTATCCTTATAATAGGACATCTGATCATTATGAGTATATCAATCATTATAAAATCATCATTTACATTCAATAAGCTTCTGATTCAATCATCATTTATATATTTGTCAAACTAATAAGTTTTTTACTGAAAATTTTATTGCTAATAAAAAAATCATCAAGAAGTTTACCACAAGATGTGTCTCAGACATCTCCACCACCTTCTGACTATCGTTATTGCCCAACCGTCACCTATGACCATTTACTTCACTTGACGATCATCATCGTCGTACCTTACCTCTCCCACAAACTATACTGCAGACATAAGAGATTAAGCAACCCCTCCCAATTTTATAATCTCATTTTCTCCTATTAAAAGAAATAGCAAGCTTTGATAGTTTTAAGCATTTACTGTGTTATCGTAATTGGGCAAATTTAGGACATATAAAATGTTGCTATCGATGTTACTTTAGATGACTTGAAATCAATTATTCTACCAAAGTGCTTTCAATTCAAATTCCATTTTAACAACTCTGAATATTCGAAGTATTGGGGACAGCTGTTTTCATAGTTTTTCTTTTTCTTTTCTCTTTTTCAAATAGCTATGATATTTTATTTAATTACATTTATTTCAATATTTTTTAAAATTCATAAAAAAATTTATTGTATACAAACAAAACTATTATAATAAGAAAGCTATAAAAATTGTAATGCACTCAATATAATGTATATTTGCTACATAAAGCTAAGGGGGGGTGGGGTGTATACTTACAAGTAAATTGTTCCGAGGTCGCTGCCTCTTGACCCTTGTTAGGTCATCGTTGTACAATTAGCAGATATATCGGGGGTCTAAGGAGGTTGAGCCCCTTGGCGGCAATTACCTAAAACTCATTGTAATTAAGACTAAAAAATAAATGAATAGAGTCAAATTACCTAAAGAATCATATAATAAAAATTTTATTTATTTTTTCAGGGAGGCAATTGCCCCCCTGGCCTAAGGTGGATCCGCCGATACAAGGAAGGGCCTCATTTGTAATTGACTATAAATACTATTGGATTCATTCAAATTGGATCAGGCCCTGTGATTTTCCTACTTTTAGAAAATTTTGATGTCTCTTATGAACACTACACCCTCGTATAAAGCTAAAATGTTAAACTTTACATTTCTCTATCGCCGCAAATATTTCAGGACACAACAATAATATAATAATTTTATCATCATGAAAATATTATAACATATCTTATTATAAGAAAAGCTTTTCATAAAAATTTTTAGAAATAATAATAATCAAATAAAGAATAGCAAATATCCTCAAAACAAATCAGTTAAAATAAATGCCCCAAGTCGAGAAAAGAACGCATGGTGGCGTATTAAATAAGTACCAATAAATAGAAAAAACATAAAAGTGATGGGTAGTAAAAGTGAGCAATTAGAACACGAAAGCCATTTAATCCTTCCATCCGGCCCGGCGCACTCAAAGCATTTAACTCAGCGAAGCTATGACCGACCACCAACCCCGACGATCAAGGCGCGCTCGTGCTACGAATATTCACGCGTATTGCTTTCACACGCACCGCTTTTTTCCCTTTTAACATATTTTTACTATTGCGGATTTCTCTCCTAAACTTAGTACAGTGATTGTTATATTTTTTTTATTATATATATAAGAAAATAAAAAATGAGGGAGGAAATACAATGTAAAACTCATTCTCATTCTTTTGAATAAAATAATAAAAATTATAAACTTGAGTATACAATCAAATATCTAGAAAATTCGTATCAAATCAAGTTAGACCGATTCGGGTTTAATACAACTCGAACTACTCGGTCTCAATTTAAAAGGAACTCGCCAATTTATAAATGAACTCACATCAAATAAGAGACTACGGTCTAAGAACTCCTCTCAAGGAGGTGAATACTATTTATGAAATCTTCGCTAGCAACAACTTGATTGGGCGACTTCCTTTATGTGAGAAATCATTGATTAACTATTTAGATATTTATCCATATTCAAATATTTGTCCAACTATATATTGATGCGGTGCTCGATAAGCAAGGAAAGGAGGCGGAGTAGCACATCACTCAGTCGTTTTCTGTTGGTTGGAGCGTTCCCCACTAAACCTTTTTATTCTTGTTTGCCATTTCCGGCTCTGCCTAGTTTTCAGTAGCTGCTAGTACTTTTTGGCTTTTTAGTCATTTACTTTTTAGGAGAGATAGTTTATCTTCTTCCCTTGCTGGAGGGGAAGTCAGTTGTTAGAAAAATACATTTTAAAACTTGTTCTTCTTCAGTAACTGAGTTACTGTTTTATCAATATATTGCTTTGTTTTGCTCATCTTGCAAGAACCTACATCATATATGCCAACCCAACAACTTCTTAGGCTTCAAATGGGACGGCTTTGTACTGGAAAGCTACTTTAAGAAGCATTAAGAAAGTCATCCCGTCTCTAACTCTAAAAATGACATATATATGTCAGATATTTTAATTAAGCTACATAATTTTATAAGAAAACTTTATTTTGATTCTACAAAAGTTTCTCAAACTCAACAATATTCTGATTCAAGATAAATTTATAAAATATATAATCAACTATAACAACCCCCCCCCCCCCCTAGCCATAACCACCGAATCACTCTCACACAGCCGCCAAAATTCAAATATTCATACAACCAAAAATTTATTCGGGGCTGCTCTTGACCCCATTCTAGGTCCCCATCGACATGTCAAACCCCGCTAGGGGTCCCCTGAACCCGCCGACAACCTACAAAGCATATAACGATGAAAAATTTCGGTTAAACCAAATTCAGCAACCTCTAATATAATTTTTTAGAAATTAATAAGATTAATCAATTACATCCATTTTTTTGCAATATAATTAATCCATACTCAATCTAAAATTTTGCTTAAGAATAATAAATCATCCAAATTTCTTTTTTAGTGAATTATCCAGCTCCATTTCTTACCCATTTTCTTATAGTACGCTAAATTTGACGCACAATAATAGTTACTTAAAATCTCTCCAACCCCCCCCCCCTTCTCTCTCTCTCTCTCTCTCTCTCTCTCTCTAAAAATTAAGGTTGTTTCCGATCCTGACTTTCTTACTACTTTCTAAAACAAATTTCTAATACAAATATTTTAGTACAAAATGTACTAAAATATTTTTATTCAAAAAATATTTGTACTAAAAAACTAATTTAGATAACAATTAAAAAAAAACACAGCTTACCTTGATCTGTTAGTTGAAAGCTTAGCCTACCAATTAAGAGGTCCTATGTTCTAGTCTTGTATATGCGATGTATATATAAGTCTGCCTTAATTAACCAAAATGTCCCAAAAGAAGCTTTAGTTTTTTATATTTTTTTAAGTAGTAGAACATTATTTTAACATAATTAATTTTCATACATATGTGCCATGCAAATAGGATTTGCTCTCCTAATCCATAAAATAAAATAAAAAACATACATACCACCCTCTGAAAAATGAAATTTTTAATTACATTAAAGGTTAGTAAACTTAATTTAAATTAAGTCCACCACCGCCATAATTTCATGATACAAAAAGACACCCATCAAAACCAAATCAACCAACCAAAGATGAAAAACAGAGAATGAACAACAAATTTAGAAGGCAACGGTACGCACCCGGCCGTCATCGATATCTCCGGCCACCAAAGCTCTCATCTTCCATCCACCGACGTAAACGACTCCGCAAAACCTGGCGGCCTTGTCGGAATACTCGTATGCGTGCTATCAATTCCGGCAAAAAACGATGACGACGACGTCGCCCCGTCTCCGTCCTCGAACTCCTGCCACCTCTTGAGCGCCTGCGGCAACGTCATGTCCAAATCGATGCCGAAGCTCTCTTCCATGTTGGGATCAGATGGCTTCCAGATCTCGGAGAGAGTCGAGAGGACATTGACGGCGTGGCCCATGTCCGGGCGCTGGTGTGGCTCGCGGACGCAGCAGTGGCCGGCGAGCTCGGCCACGGTGGTTATGCTTGTGAGGGTTTCTTCGTCATCAGCGGAGTAGATGATGGGATCCACGACGGATTTGTGGAAGTTGGTTTCTTTGTTGAGTTGCATGCGGCGGAACCATGTGACAAGATGAATGCTTTCTTCCGGCTGGGTTTCGTCTAATGCCTTTCGGCCGGTGATGAGCTCCATTAGTATGACGCCGAAGCTGAATACGTCGGATTTGGTGGTCACGCGGCCAGTCACTGTAATATATAGATACATTATAAAGAAGATAGTTCAGCTCAGTAAGTGACAAACAGAAGCAGAAGCAGAAGCAGAAAGAAAGAAGAAAGAAAAGATTTCAATGCTCTCAAGTGGTTATTTGGCTGATTGTGGTTGAAAATATACTTAAGACATAATTATTTTATTTTCAGCCATTTCATATGAGAAAATAATATCCTTTATAATTTTGAGTAGATTAATGAGCTACTTAAACTAATTAAAAATTAACTAAGTTCTTAAAAAAGTTCATTAACATTTTATATGTATTGATTATCATAGCATGGATAGTTAATAAACACATAATCAATTATAAATGATAATTAATTAGTTATACATATTAATTAATGATTCATTATAATTTTTATTAAAATAATCAAGTTGACTTGCTGTAAAGTTATAATAATTATGCATGAGATAATTAATTAATAACTTAATTTCTTAATTACACTAATAACAAATAACTGACTATAATTAACATATTTTATCCTATTTGAAGAGTTTAATCTAATCTAGTAAGCAAATGGGCTCTTAACAATTAATAAACGAATAAAATATTATGTTTTATTTAAGATTAGTGTGGGATGATAATATAATGATGATAAACTAGTCTTATCCCAAATATCTGCTTAGTTTGAAATTTGAGTGGATGATAAACAAATAGAATATTCAAAGTGATGTCATTTTAATTGTCCCAAATGACAGCTTACTAAATAATGCCTAAAGACTTTTTTTTTCAGATGTCTAAAGAACTTTTACTATAACTTCTCATAAAGGATCTTTTTTAAATAACTTTTGAGCTAATTAAGTCAAATACGCCCAAATAGCACATAAAAAGCATCAAATCAAGGAGAGATTATTATGTGTGCAAACCGGACGGCGATAACCGTTTGGATTTACTGTCATTTTACTGCACTTTTACAAATATTCAGCAAAATGACAGCAAATATGCAATTATGAATGATTTTTGCTAAGTATTTGCTGTGTTTTGCAATTATGAATGCACTTTTGTAAGATATTTGTTGTGCTTTTGCTGCACTTTTGTAAAAATGCAACAAATACTCAGCAAAAGTCATTCATAATTGCATATTTATTGTCCTTTTGTTAAGTATTTGCAAAAGCGTAGCAAAATGACAGCAAATCCTAACAGTTCACGTCGTCCAGTCTCCACACATAATAATTTCTCCGAATCCAGGCCTCTTAGTTGAGAGTTAAAACTCTCAACCAACAGATCAAAATAATTCCTCATTAAAGCAATGACAAACAGTAAATTTGATAACTGCAAAACTTATTAAACATGGCAAAATTTGAGTGCAAAATAGATTGAACAGATGGATTGATGATTACCAGCATATTCAGGAGCAAGATACCCAAAAGTCCCTGCAAGTTTAGTCTCCACAGAGCATCCTTTACCATCAGCCAGTCTAACAAGCCCAAAATCAGACACCTTGGCCTTCATATCATCTCCAAGAAGTATATTGGAGGGCTTCAAATCTCTATGAATAAAGCTTTGATGAGCAAGACTATGCAAATACTCTACCCCCCTCGCTACATCCAGGGCGATGCTCAACCTCTTCTTCCACTCCAAAGGCTTCAAACCTTCTTCTTTCCAGCCAAACAGGTGGCGGCTTAGCGTCCCCTGTGGCATATACTCATAAACCAAGAGCCTCTCATTCCCATCCAAGCAGTAGCCGAGGAGTGAAACTAAGTTCCGATGCCTGACTTTTGTGAGAACGGCAATCTCTGATTTGAATTCATTCAAACCCTTTGATCCCATCACACCGGACTCCATTCTTTTCACAGCAATCTTAGTGCCGTCGTGTAGCTCGCCCCTGTAAACTGTACCAAATCCTCCTCGGCCGAGAACATTTTCTTCGCTGAAATTGTTGGTTACATTCCTCAAAACTTGGATCGAAATAACCATGTTTCCAGCTTCAACTACTTGCACATCACTTGGAGAGTTCCTTGCTTGGCTATGGTTTTCCCTATCGGCAGCTCCTGTATTCGTGCTCGGTCCTGCTGCGACTGTAATCTTTACTGTGTCCGGATCCGAACCAGAGTGGCGGGGGTGAATTACAGTAGTGTTTGGACTCTGAACTCGGTGGAAATGCTGTTTTTTCCTCTTATAATAGCACAAACCCAAGAAGGCAAAAAGGGAGGTTGCAAATAAGACGGCGAGAACAGAGCCAATAATAATTCCAACTGAAGAAGATGAGGCGTTCCCTTTGTCGGCACCTCCATTAGAACCGTTAGAACCAGGAACGTTATCGCTGCTAGGAGCTACACCGGAGCCAGAGCCAGGAGTGGGAATATCCTTACCGATATTTGGGTTCCCTTGTGTCTTCAAAAGAACATTTTTTGAAAAGCTGGGAACTTTACCATTAAGTGAATTGTCGGAAACGTCCAGTTCCTTGAGAGAAGTCAGACTGGTGAGTGTAGACGGAATAGCTCCGGTGAGATTGTTGTTGGAAAGGAGAAGCCTCTGAAGCGCTGGAAGCTTCGCAAAGTCCGGCGAGATCGTACCGTTTAACTCCATATTCTGAAAATTAACAACAGTAATGTTGCCTTCATTGTCACAAGCGATTCCCAGCCATCCTCCGCTACAGGGGTCGTTTCCCTTCCAGTTATCTGCGAAGCGGAAAGGATAACCTAAAGAGCCCGCAATCGAAAGCAGAACATCAACGCGTGGATCGCAGCGAACTCCCGGCTTTTGTAAACAAAATCTCTCTGAGTTGGTGACGAGGTCGACAACCTTGACGGAGACGGGGAATTCAGGTACCGGCCCTTGAAGGAGATTATTTGTGAGAGTGACCTTGGAGAGTGATTTAAGTGAAGTGAGTGAACTAGGAACAGGACCAGTGAACTGATTATCCCGAAGCTCGAGATCTCGAAGATTAACGAGGCCGGAGAAGTCCGGCAGAGGTCCGGAGAAGGAGTTGGAGTGTAGCCAGAGCTCTTCCAAACCAGTCATGCTCTGAAGAAACGCGATGCCACCGGAGAGGGAAGCGCCACCGCGCTGGTTGTTGAGCCAGAATGACCTGACGCTGGAGCCACCGAAGGCAGACGGTACGGTACCTGAAAGCAAATTGAAGGCGAGCGCGAGGTGATTGAGGCTGGGGAAGGCGGTGGCTAAAAACTCTGGAACGGAGCCGGAGACATTAGCAGAGTTAGCGGAGAAATTAACAAGGCCGCCGGCGTCACGAAGCGAAGCCGGAATCTGCCATGGTTTGAAAGGGTTGTTGTCTAGGTAAACACCGGTGAGAGAAGTGAGACCCGAGAAGAAGGAGGCGGGGATCGAAGAGAAGAGATTGTTGTGGAGAAGAAGAGTTTGGAGGGAAGTGAGCGAGGAGAGGGAAGGCAGATCGCCGGATATCTCATTAAACTGAAGCTCCAGGCGAGTGAGGGCGGTGAGGTTAGCGATGTCTTTGGGGATGGTGCCGGCGAGACTCTGGTTTCCGATCTGGATGGCAACGATGCGGCCATTAGAACAGGTGACGCGGCTCCATGAGCAGGGGTCGGATGACTGTGACCATCCCAGGGCTCGGTCCGCGCCGAGGCTAAGGGACAGGGCGTGCATTGCGGCGACATCGCCGGCGTCAGTTTGCGCCGCCGAACGCAGGAGAAGTGTTGAGAGTAGGACGGAGAAAATTAGTCCGGTGAACTCCATCGGAGAGTGGTGGGAGAAGAGGCGAAGCGAGCAGGAGGGGTGGTTTTGAGCTGGCTAGGGCTTCCGTTCAAGGCATTATGTGGGTTGGTTAGCTATTTGCTTCAAAGTTCGCCGTTGGTGAGGAGTGGATGAGGGGTAGAATGGGAATAACGGTGCTTAAGACGTCCGGGGAAAGAACGTGGAGGGGCACATGGGCATGGGGCCCACCATGGGGAAATTGAGCCGAACCCGGTCCAGCTGGATTTCTTCTTTCCCACGTAAGGCCGGCTGCTTTTTTCTTTTAATTTTGACGAACCGGATTTCCATGACTAAAATACCCCCATTTCCCGGGCTGGAGGCCTAGTGGCGCCGTGGCGGTTCGAAATTACCTCCTATTTTAGTATTTTCATTTTTTAACTTTATTTTTAAAATATAATAATAATTTAGTAAAGCTATTATTATTTTGTGTGAAGTACTTGAAAATTATCATATAAATTACTATCTTTTCAATTTGAATGATAATATAATCATTTTTATAAAAAAAACTAAAAATATGATGGTAGAGTAAATAATGGTAACAAAAGTAAATTAAAAATATAAAGTAGTTATAAAATAAATAAAAAAATTATGACATGATATCATGATCGAAATTCAATAATGGTGGACATCAACGCTATTGAATAAGCACTGAAATTAATGCTAAATAAAATATTTAAGAGATTTTTACATACATTACACTCTAACTATTGTAAATACATATTCAATACCTACATTTTTTTATTTACTGGTATATCACCTGAAACCACATTTTTCATATATTAGTACCCATCAAATTTTCCCAATGAGCCTCGCATCTTCTCTTTGATTCACCTTCTCAATCTTCCTCAGCCATGGGAAGGGTACTGGCTCTCTGTTGTTCAAGTATTTCTGAGTTAACGGTCTCTTTTCCTCTTCATATCTATTCACCTACTATTTTTTTTTTTTGTGGGCATACACATAGACTCGAATCCTATACCTCTTAGTTAGAAGCCTAAGCTCTCAACCAATAGGCCAAGAAGAGCTGTTACTAATGTAATTTGAACATAGTAAATAGTATGGGCTTATTGAAATTATTATTATTATTATTTTTTTTTTTGGACATTTAGGCCAATAAAGGCAAACTCACACACACAACGCATACACATAGACTCGAATCTTGGACCTCTTAGTTGGAAGCCTAAGCTCTCAACCAATAAGCCAAGAAGAGTTGTGTTGAAATTATTATTAGAATAGCCCCTGAGAACTTTATTTATGATGATTTTATTGAGGAGAATTTACATACATACCACTTCATTTCTTGATATTTATCTATCTAACATAAAAAATTTAATATTACATTTCTAACACTCATATAAAATTTTAATATCAAATATATCACTCATATATTTCATTGCTACCACCCATACCATCATATAAACTTTAATATTTCATTATATGCATCCATATTTGTTTTATGGATGATAGACATGTAATATTAAAATTTTAGGTGTTAGATATGTAAATAACATGAAATAAAATGATATGTATGTAAATCCCCCATTTATTAAAGGATCACAATTTTGTTTTACAGTATAGCAGTCTGTAACAGTATAAACTATTAAACTTCACTGTTATTTTTTAAGTCAGTAAAGTGTAATAACGTTATCCAAAAGTTTGTCATTTTCTGATTAGCAATCTAATTACAAGACCATCAATGATTAGAATCACAGATAATTAAATATAGCAACGCTAACTCACGCATTTGGAGGTAAATTTTCTGTGAGTTTACTGTTAAAATAATTATTATGACAGTGATTAGTGAATAAAATATTAATTATGAAAAGAGTTATGATAGGATATTGTAATACAAAACGTATAGAAATGGATTTCAAATATATCTGATTTACATTAAAATTAATCAATCTTGGAATATTATAAAACAAAATAATCTCCGTGTAAGAAAGTCAGATGAAATAATGCCTGCATTAGTGCATCATTTCCCATCAAATCTCTGCAGTTAAGCATGTTTGGTTTAGTTGGGGACGAAGTAAATCATGCAATGAAACAAATAAGAAAATGGACATGCGGCAAAACGTAAGGAATACTAGGATTTAACGTTGGAAAATTCAAAATCAGGAAAAAAAATCATGGAGTCACACTGCACCAGAAATTTCAGTATGAAAATTGGGAGAAATTTATACAGATATATTGTTTTTCTATCTCTCTCATTGCTTTTCTTTTCAGTTACATTATTTTTTACACAAAAACAAATAAAGAGATACAATTCATACCACCAAGGGACGCCCCCCTAAAAAGAAAGAGAAAGAAAAACTGTACAGCCGGCCTCGCAGCGCTGCGGTGTATGTTAGTTTGAAGCGTAGCAGCGCTCAATGCTCTGTCTCAAGTTTGCTTAATAGTGACATAATGTTAGATCCTGAGCATTGCAGCGCTTTGCTCCCTATCTTTTCTCCAAAAAAATTATGCATTGCCAAGAGCTCGAATACACAACATCGGAGCGCTTAGGTACAAAACATTGAGTGATGTAAAAAAAAGGCAGGGAGGGTGCAAAGGACTCAAACCCAATCAGGGAGAAGACCGTGGCAATAATACAACCCCCGATTAATAGATACAATCAGATTCCACACAAACTAAACTGTTAGGGCATTATTATGATCGATGATCTCTTCATAAATCCTCAAATTGCATTTTTTTTTTTACAGCATTTTTTTTTTCATTTAAAAAAAAAAGCATCAGCGGGTTTAAAAATGTCTCCAGCTGATGTAATTTATCATTAATTATTAGTATAATTTTCTTAGCCAATCTCATTAAGAAAATCTCTCCAGCTGATGGCGTGCACATAAAACCAAAAGTTAGATAGATTTCCAAAATAATTAATAATACTTAACAGCTAATTGTCTCACTAAACTAAAAATTATCCAGTTGTTTTCTGGCTTAAGTTACATAGCTATCGTCACCTAAACTCTTCTAAGAACTTGTTAGTTATGCATGCATGTTACTTAACTTCTCTGGCCTGATCATTTAAAAAATGTTTAGTTTTGTTGCGTCCTGGAGTATTCGCGGCGGTAGAGAAATATTTAGTTTAACGTCTTAGCGTTGTACGAAAATCCGGCACGCAATCAGATAAGAAGAGATGGTCTAGCATTTATGAGACACCAAGATTTTTACGTGGAAAACCCCTGTAAAAAGGGGGAAAAACCACGGGGCCTAGCCCAGTTTGAACGAATCCACTAGTATTTGCAGTCGATATCCTCCTTGCTCATGATTACAAAGCATATCTGCATGATTATGTACAGTTCATATTAAATTAATTTGCACCCAGATAAATTTTCTGATTTAAAAAAAAAAAAATCAAAAGCAAAGAACCAAATCTCTTTGGTCTAGTTGAGCTGTTTTGCACAGTCATGGCGGTGATGAAGGAAAGTTCACTTCAAGGTAATCTCGCTGCAGGAAAATTTTTTATTACCGTCGAACTTTCTAAGAAAAAAGTGGCGGACAAATCCTCGAAATATGAGCCGGTAGATTTACGTCAGAAGTTCTGGAGTATTTTTTGCCGTTACATTACCGGCACATATTATGTCGGAAATTACTTGTGTGTAAATAGCACCGGTTTATTTAAACTCGATGAAAATTTTCCGGCACATTGCATGCCAGTCATATTACCATCGGAAAAACCGCAAGAATATCTGACGGAGAAAGCCCTATTTCGCCCGCTATATCGTCTTTTTTCTTCGTTTCGGTTCACTCCGCTCGTGTCAGAGACTTGCGCCGTACTCCACCGCCATCGAGACACGCGAATTACCATCGTATAGATTTTCTCCCAAAAAAGAAATATTTCTGACGGATTTTCTTTGTTACCGGCGGATTTCGTCAGCCAGTAACACGTTATTTTACTGTAGTGTCTCTGCAACGCCAGACATCTTAATTGCTCATCTGTTCGGCATGGAAGCTGTTGTTCTTATGCTCTTTTAGATATTTAATCTCCTCCATGAAATTTCATTCACCTGAAATTCCTTGCTGTTATTTTCTTTCTTAATTTCTTCTCTGCATATTTATTATTTACACAACAAATAATTTCTATAAATTTTTTTTGATGATAACGAAAATCTCTGCATATTTTTGATCGGTTCCACTACTCATTCCCCAGCGCACTGAGGAGTCTGAGAGTGAAAATGATGCCATGGCATGCTTTTCTCGGCCTTGTAATCTTCTTACTGTAGATATACAGTGCAGTGGACTCAGGACTGGGTTGGTAGACCGATTCATGTCCTTAAACCTCCATGGCGATGAAACATTCTTAGTTAATTTCATGGAAATATGCATAATTCTCTATGCAGTTGCTGTGATTCTCACTGTTGTTCTTCCATGAGCATTCTGTATGTTGCTAGCTTTGATCACATATTTAATATGTTCGCATAGTTTAGCTATGCTATCTTAAAACTTATTAATGAAGGGATTGAGTATATAAATGGTGAATTTGGGGATAAAAATGTGAGGAACCAGTTCATGTGATTTGATTTGTTAAGTGTTGTGTTAAAAAGGTAATGCTATTTTGTATGGGATGTGGAAAAATAGATGCATGAATTTTTATAATGTATTAGCGTATCAGTTTGTTTTATGAAAAAAAAAGTAAAATAGTAGTTTTCTTTGAGGTGTGAGAAGTGGTGGAGGGATGATGACAACGACGAGACAATATTAGTTGAGTGACTACGGTAGTTGATGATAGTTAGGTGTTGATCTATGGCGAAGTCAGAAATTTTTAAAGAGGGCCCAAGTTTAATTATTTTATTGTTTATATATATTATGAAAATTCAATATACTCTATGAAGATATGCTTGTAAATCCTATTCGATTTTTTTTTAAGAAACCGCTCATAGAAAGCACCTGATGTGGGGGGAGGCACGACCCTAGGCCCCCCCCCGGTATCAGCGATCAAAGATCGGATGATGTTGATCAAGTGACAATAGCTAGATGGTGATGAGTGGATTGTGACAATCACTGTGACGATTAAATGATATTTGCTGGACGATAACAGTAAAATGTTAGTGGTGGCTAACAATGATTGATGCTATTGACCGTTAAATATAACCATGAGTTCTTCATATTTTAA